GGCACGTGGGATCCTCCCAGACCGGGGCACGAACCCGTGTCCCCTGCACCGGCAGGCGGACTCTCAACTACTGCGCCACCGGGGAAGCCCGAGAGTGAAGTTTTAAGGAAGAATTTTTAACTGTGTCAGATGAAGAGAGAGTGAATACTTCAAGGATTCACTGAATGTGGCAATTGGAATGTCTTTGGTAACCCTTAGGTAGGAATGAACACACAGTATATGAAGAATAAGTCTCAGTAATTTGCATCACCCATTTCAGTAAATGGCGCCACCATCCATCTAACTGCTCAACCCAGAAACCTAGGATCCGCCCTTGATAATGCCCTATCCTTCACTCCCCACATCCAATCAGTTCTCCCATCTCCAAAATACTTCTAGGAATTAACCACTTCTTTTTTTTTTTTTTTCTCTCACTCACTTTTTTTCTATCTGTGGTCCACTCCTAGCATTTTAGTCGAAATCACTGTCATTTCTTGCCTGTGATACTGTGATAGCCTCCCAGCTGGTCTCCCCATTTTCCCCTCTTGCCTCTTTTTAGTCCGTTCTTCACACAACTGCAAGAATGACTTTATAAAAATGCAAATCAGATCATGTTGCTTTCTCATTTAAAATTCTTAATGGCTTCCCGTTGCACTCTGAATGACATCCCAACTTCTCCCCATGGCCTATAGTTGTCTGTGTGATCTGGTTTCTGCCCGCCTCTCTGACTTCAACTTGTGCCCCTTGCTCACTATATTCGAGCCATGCTGCCATCTTTCTGCTCTTAGACACTCATTCCCACCCCAGGTCCTTTGCACTTGCTTTTCCTGCTGCCTGGTGTGCTCTTTCCCCAAAACTGCCCAGAGCTGTCTCCTTTTCATCAGTGAGGCCTTAGCTTAAATGTCACTTCCTCAGAGAGGCCTTCTCCAACCACCCTATCCAGCGGGGTCCGCTGTTATCATTTCTTGGCCCTTTATGTCCTTATTGTAATTCCTCACTATTTGGTGGTTCTTCTCTTTTCTCCTCCACTAGAATCCAGGACAGAGATAGTGTTGGTCTTGTTTATAGAAGTACCCCTAGTGTTTAGCGTAGTGGATATGCTAGATACTAATAAATATTTATTAAATGGCAAGGAGGCGTAGGCGTGTCTTGATAACAGTTTGTTAGTAGTTTGCCACACGTAGTTAGGATTTAGCCTGGCACATAGTAGGTATTTTTAGCCTGGCACATAGTAGGTATCCAAGAAATGTTTGTTGAAAGAAGGAATATTTTTATACATTATCTGATAATTATCACTCAGTACTGTTT